TTTTTTTTTTTTTTTTACATATGTGAGACTTACGATACTTGTGTTAAGAAGGTGTTGGCACAACATTCCTTTCGATAGAGCAACATTTTAAAAGAGCCAAAAACTCGTACTTACCAAGTAGATGTGCTAGATGTAGATCTGAATCTGTTTCAGATCGTTTTTCTGTTTTTTTTTTTGTGTGCAATGTGAAATTATATATATATATATATATGTTTTCGTTGTATTGTTGTAATACGCTTCAAGGTGCAAAGATATCATGTGCAGTTGAAATTGTATCTCATATCCATACATTGTTCATAACATTTTTTTTTTCTTTTAGCCATTGAAGGATCAATGATTTCATTCGTATTAGTCGTCTGTGTGTAAGAAACAAAAAAACGAGCACATGTGGTCGGTTGATCGACAACCGTGTCTTCTCTTTATTTTACAGGATGACAACGAAGGTCCGGTGACCAAAAGTATTCGCCTAACGGCAGCTCTCATTCTTAGGAACCTAGTCATATATTCAACACATGGTAGAAGGTGAGGCTCCGTTTTTTTTTTCTTTTTTTCTTTTCAATATCCGGTCGCTCCGATTGCTCGCAACGCAGCCCACACACACGTGTCAACGATCTATTTCAATGAATTATTTGCAGGCACCTTAGAGCGTACGAGCCACACTTGGCGGGCGTGGCGTTGAGCAATGTCGAATCATCAAGAACGATCGCACAAGTCCTGTATGACATGAACGACCAGAGTAGCAGTAGCCATCATAGGTGACCTCTTGAATCAGGCCTCTAAAAGCTCTCCTCTAACCATTGCGAGCAGCGATCAACTTACATTATTTCGAATTGTACGCGCGGGAGAGGAAGCGGGCGCGCATAAAGTTTGTAATCACTCGCTGTGCTGGATGCGTGCGTGCGTGCATGCGTGATTTGCAGCCCGATGCGCATCTCGAAGGACTGGAAATATATACGGGGGATAAATGTTCCATATATATATAATAAAAAAAAAAGAGGCCTATAAACTTACTAGGCAAATCACTTTGCCAATTTAGACTATAATATGAGCTGTAACTAGTGAAATACGAAACAAAGACAGTAGAATGATGCGGAAAGGTGATAACGCGTTTGCGAGAGAGGGAGAGAACGAAAATCGCGAAAGAGAGATAATGAGAGAGAGAGAGAGAGTGTGTTTGTGCGTGCGTGTGTGAGAGAGAAAGACAGAGAGAGAAAGAGAGACGAGGGGTGATATTTCAGATTTAATATTAATATTTATTTTCTCAACAAGAAATGTGTGAAAAAAGTGTTTTTAGTAAACGTGTACAAACAAGGGCGAAGAAAATACTTTATGAACGTTATAGTTAATTATAATCAATATATTATTAATATTATATTATTATTCTATTATTAATTATTATTGTAGTTTTTTTTTTTTTTCGTAAAAAGATCACCAAGGACCTAGGATATAAAGGAAAAAAACGAAACCTTTTTATGTAAAATGTATTTGTTAGGAATATATGATTTGCTTATAATTGCATATTGCAGTTACATGGCTATATTATCGTCTCTCTTTGTTTTATCATTAACTAATCTTATTATCGTCAGAAATTAAATAAGATATAACAGTACATGCATCGGCATGCTAGCGAGTTCGTCATTACAGCAGAACGTTCATATCACTGCGTAAATCTAACGACGTCTAGCTTAGATCAGTTTTAGCTCGATGACTCCTAGCCATTCGACTTCTGCAATGTGTCAGAATACTTAGAGAAAAATTTTGTACACTCGCCAAGTAACGTGGCATATCGTTTAGACGAGATTTCCTTCCAAAATTACTTTGTCATTAGCGTGACTTGAAATCAAAGAGCATCTCTGCAAAATGTATACCCGAAATCAGCAACAATAATTATCGACGAGTTAATGAATTTACGCGCGTGTCAAGCAAATTTTGGACGAATCTTTATTACATCTGGATTTAGAAGGCCTAAGATTTACACCTTAAATGATGATTGATTATGATGTTGAATTTTTTTTGTTTCTTCTTGCCTCAACTTCCCTGCAACTTTTTGTTACTGATCTATTCGCGGATTGCAATTAGAATCGCACTTTTCTATTCAACTCCCGTGGCGTAATTGTGCTTGGTTTAATGACGAAGATGTATTCACATTTCAAATCGATCGAACAGTTTACTCGTAACACACACTGAGCGATATCAGAAAACAACAACATAATCGTTTGCAACGCATAATGACAAAGTTGTCCTTTGGCGCGATGCTTCAACGTTATTTGCTTTCGCATAAATTGCGGAAGAGCGAAGTAGAATTTCTCTTTGTATTGTGTAATTAAAACAAGAAAAAATGGTACCATAAAAAAATGGTAATTTTTTTTTTTAAGTCCTGAATCAAAAATCAATTGAAACAAAATCGTCCGTTTTGATTTATTGCAAAACTTGATATATAATTTATGTAAAATAATTTTTTTATTTTATTAAGAGTAGTTATGCAAATGCGTTAGAGTGACAAGTGTTTTATGTTATTGGACGTCACTACTTCGCGAATGTCGTAGATTGTGCATTTATTGTTTATTGAGTTTCCTAAAACACCAGTACATTGCATAAAAAAAGATAAGAATAAGCTGATCATATTCGAATCTATACATATATATATATATATAATATACATATATACGTTATGCATTTGCATATGCATATTATATATATAATATACATATTTGTACATAAATGCTGTATTTCATTCACGATGTTAAAACCTCTGTGTAAATTTCTTAAGATTGTAAGTTTAACGCGTCTAAGAGAAACGAAGTAAAAGATTCTTGTATTATAATAGATTGTGACAAGACATAGAAGTTGCAAGAAACGGATTTTTGTAATTATTTAACTGGTTCGGCGAAGAAAAAAAAAACTGAGAAACGGCTTCGTCTTATATTACAAAACGGCCGTTTAAGGATAGACATAAAAGTATGATAATGGACCCTGTGCGAGCCTCTATTATGTATTTTATATATAAATATATAAAAACAAGTTTAATAGCTGAACGTTTTTAGGAGGATGAAAATCTTGTGAGAGAGGCTTTTTATTTTTATTATTTGTATTTACCTAGTTTACATGTTCACCGTTTCGTACGATCATTCAGATCATAAATAAACATCTGTGTAAAGAGGAATAAAAGAATGATATAATAAATCACTAAATACGAAGGAGAATATGGAAAAAAATATATAGAATAATTGTTATGGTTTTGTTTCTTCTCTCCGTCGTATTGCGTGAATATACAAACGAAAAGGTTATTGAAGGGGGAAAAAAATCGGAAGAATTGGACGAAGCAAATCCTATTCACCGGCGGTCATCGACACGTACGTATACTGCAAAAAATTATTTGATTATCACAATTATATCAACTATTTTTCACGTACTTTAATACTTATTTTTAGAGTAATTAATTAAAATATATCCTAGAGTATAATAAGTAGAAATTCAATTGGCACACAATAGTAGAAAGTATAGGAAAATTTATTGCGATATTAATCGTGTGTGTACAAAAGTTAAAAATATATATATATATATCGTATTACGCTATCGACATATTTAAAATATTTATAAATGAAAAGCGTTTGGCTTTTCGAAGGACACTTATTTTGTCTTAATTTCGAAAGATTTGTTAAATATGGCTATTTCTCGTATATTATTTTTTATCTCAGTCACATACAATAATTTAAACCTCATAAAATTCATTTATAGCCCATTAAGACTCGTAATTTATATTGCTCTTTTGATTTTTTTTTTCTATTTTTATTCTTTTCTCTTAATATTTCTAATAATTTCAAAGTGTTGTCTACGAAACACTTTATATTCACTCTTTTGTACGTTTTCAGTGCTTAAGTTATTTTAATTGCATCTTGCTGGCAATTTAATTTTAATATAAGTCTTAAGTACAATTTGTGCTATTTGATCGTTCTATATATTGATAGTTCAAAACAGTTTATACTCGTATAAATTGTTGCATGTATAAGAACGATCTTCATTTTTATTTGGCTATATAAAATTTGTTATTTTTTTCTATATACATGTATTAATTTATTTTTCATGTAGACGTACTTTTTTTCTTATTTGATCCATCATAATATTCTTCACATAAGAACTTGGAATTATTCACGGAATAGAAATAACATTGAATTTGTGTGTATCTTTTTAAATTTAACATCTCAAAATGAGATTTCGATGCTACATCGCTTCGCTCAGAATTGTAGAAAGAATTTTAGGATCGATTTTAATGCTTTTATCATGTATATCTCTAACTGCTTATCTTAAAAACACTCTTGGCTTGCAGAAAAGTAGAAGTAGCAAGCTTTACATTTTCTTCCGTATAAAAACTTGTATCTTGCAACGTAATCAATTTGGATCGTATATTTTCCAAGTATTCCAAAGTCTCTGCCATCAATTCCGCTTTTATTTCTTGAAGAAATCTTAGTTTCTTGGTCGCACGAATCTTTCCAATTTCGTGTTTCGTTTATTTTCGATAAGGAAATATATCAATGTAATGTATATCGTTCTTTGCATTCACACGAGCATCACAAAGTATTTGACGATTCTTAGTACGCGTGCAAATTACATTCAAAGTCGCATTGCACACGTTAAATCAATCTTGCGGTATATCTTTATCTACCGATGTTACCTTCTTCGCGCTGCAAATATCTACGGATCAAGGGACATCGTATGCGCAGTGTGTCCCCTATATGACTACATTTAAATCTACATTGAAACTGTCCGGAGATGAATTTAGCGACCTGCAAAAATAAACAGAACAAAGGCATCAGTCACGGCCGGAAAATTCGTCGATGTATCATTGACAGCTCTTCATTGAGCAGAAATTCATATATATTTCCTACAAACGTACGTATATATAGATGTAACGGTGATGACACAAAAATTATCTCGAATAAAATTAAAACTCCCTACAAAAGTCTCGATATTAAGATCGTATTAGGTATTTTAGATACTTTCTGCTAAGGAAAATTGGAGTTTTCATCTGTTTTGTCAGTGGACTTGCGCTGCGCGGATGATGCGCCGGGGCACAACACGAAGTTGGGCGGAGTGCGTTTTCCAAAGGAACACCGACACTGGAGCGAGAGCAGCGTGGCTCGGTCGTCGCGACTCGTCAATTCCACCTGATTGAGATCACGCACGCACATTTGTTTGGGAATCGCGGTGTACGGTTTCTTCAGCCAATCTATTTGCCTGGCGCAATTGACGCTGATCAATCAACCGATCGGTCTTTTTTTTTCGGCGCGATTATTGCCACATTGATTCTACCTGGACGTGGAAGCGAGACTCTCGTCATTCGGAACATCCGGCCAGGGAAGGGCTGTGCGATCTTGGGGCGAATTTTGTTGAAAGAGCGTCGCGGACTCTTCGAAACTTCTAAATTTATAAACGATCGTGATGGGGAGACTCGACGGGATGTGAATGAAGAACTCGGAGAAAAGACAAATACGACAAAATACCTGCGAGTCTCTTCCTCCTTTCGCGCACGATCAAATCTCTCGTTGGTGACTTGTCTACGGAGCTCGCTGATTTGTCTGCTGTACTCCGCCGCTTGATTCTGATACTGCCTCAGCTCTGCGGATTCCGATGATCTGTAGAAAGTCGCAGAACGTTGTAAAGTGCAATACAAGACTGACAAGATACGAAGAGGCAATAATAGCGTTAATAATTATACAACTTTCAAAATATAAAATTAAAACGAAATTTTACAAGCGATGAACATTTCATAAATTTAGCAATTCGTGAAGAGAAGTTATCTTCTGGTTCAAATGTATTCGAAATGTTTACAAGTTTTCTCGTGCGCTTAATCAATTCTTGCGCAACTGTATTTTTCAATCGATGACACGCACAATTTACTTTGAAGTTCGGAGACTTTCTGCTTCAACCTAGCGATCTCATTTTGCAGCTCTTGATTCGCGGCCTGCGCGTCGATGGATTCCTGCCTCGCTTGATCCAAGAGTGTCTCCAGTCGTTCGACAGTCACGCGATCTCTCGTCACCTGTTCTTGAATGACACTGTGCTCAGTCTTCAGTCTCGACAATTGCGCTTCGTACTAGAAGAGACAAAAAAAAAAGGAATGTAGAGAGCTCAAGCTGACGCGTATAAAAAAAAATGAGAGAAAAGTGTAAAACGTGAATAAATTTACATGCGCTTTCACGGTGTCCTTGTCACCGAGCTGCTCCGCAAGCGTGTCCTTCTGCTGATCCAGCTTCACGCACAGGTCTCTGACCGCCATTAGATCGGCCTCGGCACGGTGCCTCTGGTCGAGCTGCTGTCGTAGCTGCGTCTCCATGCTGGCGACACTCTGCGTTAGGTTGCTGATCTGAAGAAATCGTCAAATCGTCATCACATACGAGCGGGATTTACAATAATATTCACTGGACAATTTATTGAATTCTGCGTTGAAAATCAAACGAAGTTACTCTCAACTGAATATCGACGCGCTTTTCCGCGCCTATTGTGAGAAAGTGCGGATACCTGCGTCTCGTAGCCTTTTATCAAGCAATCCCTGTCCGCCAGCTGACGCTCCAGATCGAGTATCTGATGCCTGGCGGTTTGAAGGGCGCCCCTGGCCTCCGCCGCCTCGGACTCCAAGCTGTGGTTGTTGTTCTCCAAGACCGTCGCCTCCAGGCTGAGGCTTCGGAAGTGGTTCAGCATTTCCGTTCTCTCGTTCTCCTGGAAAGATCGGGGATGAGCGACGATCCGGGTGCCAACAGGACTTTCAGGACCCACCTTTCGATTGAGCAGCTCCTCGGCGCGACGCACCTCGCTGACGTAGGTCTGCAGCTGCCTCTTCAGGTCGTAGCACTCGGCCCGCGAGGTCTCCAGGTCGCGCTGCAAGTTCCGCACCTCGCAGGTCACCGCCGCCAGATCGTCCTGCAGCTTCCGGTTCTCCTGGATCGCGTTCTCGCGGTCCGCCGACGCGGCCTCGAACTGCCGCTGCAACGTCTCCAGCTCCAGCTGCAGCGATCTCAGCTGACGCTCCTGCTCCGCGCTCTGGTCGACGCATATTCTACAATCAACACCGTCGTGGCGGATTTATTCGTGGCAAAGCATATTACTGGCATTATTTATTCGCGTCGAGCGACGCGTCGGCGAATTCCAAAGCGGCGATTGCGACAATCCTCGCTGCACACGCTATTCCCGTTTAACGTCATTTTCATCCTTGATCTCTTGCTCGAATCGCGCGGTGCGAAAGTTTAAATCAATCTGCGCTTACTTATGCGGATCAGGCACTTATTTCTCGTGGCGCAAGGCGCGTTCCCGAAAGAGGACAAGGGCGCCGAGAACGAATTAGGCGCGTATCGCTTCCAAATTGCGCAACTCTTTCTCGAAATGAAGTACGTGATTGGGATTCTCGTGTCGTCATTTGCACAAATTGATAGATTTCTCGCAGCAGTTCGCCGAAGGCAGAACCGATGAAACGCTCGTTTATTTGACTAATGCTCGATCACGCATTATCGGATAACAGCGTTCGAGTTTTTTTTTTTTCAGAACTAGATACAAAAGAGCCGCAACTTTCATCGCGGAAAACGTCCATGCGCGCTATTGAAGGCCAATCAATTGCCAACTTTCGACGGACTAACGAGACAACGGCGGAAACGAATCACTCGTCAAAGTCCCAACTCGTCCGCGGACGACGGCGAGCGGCGCGGGCCATTCATCATCCGCGCGTCGATTACGCGCGGCGCGACTTGCGTAATCGCGGGACCTGCGATGGTCGTGGCGCGAGAAAGATCCGGGCGCCAGTCGACTTTCTCTCGTCTCTCAAGCCGTCCTTCTCGGCAGCGGCAGCAGCCGCCTCCCGCGGAAGGTCTGGTCCGAATATGAAAGTGAAAATCGATTCCGTCACGCGCGCGGGGAAAGCATTTTCGTGCTGACCAACGCGAATTTTCCACGCCGCGGCGTCGTGTCAACCAGATTGAAACATTATTTCCAACGAGTCGCTGAAAAATCTACCGAAACGCATTATCTTACGCGAGAAAGAGTGGAATAATGTCACTTTGATATCATTTTCTTCACTTTTACGTACACCGACATCCCACGCGCTTGTCGTTTCATCACGTCGCCGCAAATCTTGCGGATTATAGACTCGCGTAAATCAATCTCCTTATCGCGTGCCCGACGATTCATCCGTCACGCCTCGCGGCGGATTATCACCTCGCGATAATGACGATGGAAATTATGTCACGGATGTTACAGAACAATGCGCTCGCTCGAAGAAATAAATTTCTATTTCCGCAGGCTGCCGCGACAAAGGTATAAATTTCTCTTCAACCGGTGGCGAAGTCCCGGCGCGAGCAAATACCGATGATGAAACTTCCTAGCCGCGAACGCGACGTCGGTGGAGAGTTTTACCAGTTTTTTCCCCTATGCACTTCCTGGCGCGAAAGATTTCCGGAATATGAGACATAACTGAAACGGCAAGCGAGCCTTTGATGCCGTCTCGATGCTGCAAATTTTCCGGATTTGCGAATCCACGTGATTCGATTCGGCTCGAAGCTATTATTTAACGCTTAATTGTCTCGCTTCCACGCGGGAGTTTTCAAATAGTTTACATCTCACTCTCTCTTTTTCTTCAACGTCAACGATTAAAAGGAAAGTTCACAGCCGTGACGATAGCGTAAAAGGAAAAGTGCCATAGAAAGCATCGCAAGTGCTCTACAAAACGCTCTCTTAATGTATGCAAAGATGTTCGCTGCGACATCGCGAATAATCGACTCGGCGGCTTCAATCACCCGCGCGCGGCCGTTTCTATTCCGCGAGGTCAAAATTTACGCGCCATCGATTGGTCGCGCCGAAATTCGCGCGATTTAGGCAGCCGGCGCGGTATACTTGTTGTCGCGTTAAATGTGAAAGCTGCAGGACAGTCCGATAGCAAATCGCATTTTCTATTCGTTTAAAATCCGCGCGAAAACAAAATACGGCATGAATATATCGAAGACCAATTGAGATAAGCCTGCATTTGCACGGAGAACGGACGGCCTTTATCAAAAGCGACGATGCCTTCCCGAGCCGGAGAGTGCATTGCCCCAAGAAGGGTCCACTTAGAACTTCTCGCTCCTTTCGTCGATTGCGAGGCGGTATCGTTTTACACCTCGGAATTGATGGGAAAACGGGACCGAGCCCGTTACGGAGAATCCGACGGAGCCGTGCAGCGTGCTACGTTTATCGGTAAACCGATATCGATGCGTGTTAAATCGATACGCCGTATTCGTGAACGACGCTCTTGGCTCTTTGAATTTTTCGAGTTTTCCTCAATGACACGTGACGCATGGCTTTCCGACCGCTTGAAGATACGATGAATTATTTATGAGGATCGCATCTCGAACAATGCCACTCTCCGATTCGACGAATATTTTTCATTCAAATTACGAAGTCTTGCATCTTCTGATATTCGTAGATAAAATCGAGCCGCGGCGCTCACGAAAATGCACGAGTCGTCTTTGTAATATTATTCATAGCTCACGAAAGTATGAGAGGAGGCACTCCCTTTAGGCGACTTCCCGGTTTGCTTAGCGTTACCGTTATAGGCAAAGGGCACTGCAGGTTTCTTCGAAACCGAGTAATCCGAGAAGTTTGAAGAAGCGAGGAGATGATGCGTGAGAAGAACCGTTGAGATGCCGAACGCAACAAGAATTAACCAGCGCGACTCCGACAATGACTCGGCGTGAATTTTGATAAAGTTATCCTCCTCGTTTCCGAATAATTTTGTTTAACAAATTGAAGACGCGTGTTGAGAAGAAAAACCAAAAAAGATGAATATTGCCGCAAATTCTTAATAATAAATTTGTAATATTAATATTGTTTTTACAGTTAAAAATTTCAATACGCTGCAAGAATATTTTTCAAAAATATTTAACGTATTATTGAATTTCAATATTATTTTGTGTATCGAAAATAATATGAATGTGAAATAGTTGGTGGTTTTTGTTAGACGTAATTTAATAGAACAATCTCGTAACTTCTTAAGATGATTTAAGATATCGATGCGACAGCGACAAATAAACAAGAGCGGAGCGATGCTCCGCTTGTAATCCCTTCACATTGGAAGCGGATGAATGTCAGATCGTTATACGCTCGCCTGATTCGTCTTCGGACGCGTAACGTATTATGCAACATTTCACAAAAAAAACTTACGCACCGGCCATAAAACCGTAACGATCGCCGTTGATTAATGACGATATTTCGAGAGGTCGACGAAGATGAAAGTTCTCTTCGTATAACAGATGTTGTGTGAAAGTGTCGCAATGTCGACATTTTTAGTGAGCGCTAGAACAATCGGAACATCGCGCACAAAGAGAAATAAATTTGGCGGAACAGATTTTTTCACTTTGCAAGAATTTGCACGACACAGCTTTTCCAAAATATTCATTAGATAAAGACATTAGAGTGCTTAAGCAGTGTTTAAATCCAAAAAATAGATGTGTCATCCGATCGTATCGAGACGATGGCTTATCGAAGCGCCAAATTTGGCGAATGGAATCAAATCGTAGATGATCTCATTGGATCTACACGTTTCGAGATCCCACGCACGGAGTAACGATATTTTTCCTCCCCCACAGTTGCATGCGCAGAAGATGCTCGGTTATTGCCGAACCGGATGCAAAGCGCGCGACGTATGCATTCCACGTTTGCCCAAATACGGCCATTGTGTTGTCAAAATGTGAACACGTCTTTGTACCTAAACTGACTGCATACCAGAAAACCGCCACACCGCGGCATGTATAATGCATGCATACATATCGAATCGCAACATTATGAAAAAAAAAAATAAATAAATAAATTCGTCGGAACGGATTTGTCCGCCGTAAAACTTGCAGTTTTTTTTTAAACTAGCTTTCCTTTCGAATATCTATTTAAGGTGAACATATATCTTCTCTCATAAATATAAATGCCGTATCGCTGATGTAACGATGAATAGGCAGAATGAAAACTTGCACGGAACAAAAGTGTTGAAAGCGCATTCCGCGAAACTAAATTCGCCCGCGAAGAAAATTAAATTCCGCAGGCGACGAACTCGCTCGCGAACAAGTCGCCGCGACTCGCTGCGATCCGGCTTGGGGTATCGCGCGAAGCGCGAGGGACGCTCGCGGGGCGACGGCGACCCCGAGGTATGCCGAGAGACGGTTTTCCCGTCCCGGACACGGATTGCATTAGTCACGACGGGGCTGGACGCAGGATTGCGTCCATCCCGCCGGCGGATTCGGTTCCCGACTCGGTCGAGTTAGGTAACGGCGTAGAGCCGCGAAGCCGGGACGAGCGGGTCTCAGTCTCGCCGAGCTTCCCGCGGCGATAACAACGACACAAACGCGAGTCGGTTCGGGAGACTCTGATGTGGGATGCGGAGAACCGGGTGGTGAACCGAGAGGAAAGGCAATTCGCGAAACGGTGACGTGACGGCGATCGTCCAGCAGCGACATGAAGACATCGATGTCGAGGTATGTTTTTTTTTTTCCGCAAAATTATTTGCAAAAGCCTTGTTCGACGGAGACGATGGACGTTTTTTGTAATTGTGATAATCGCGAATCTTGGAATTGAATAATGTAAAGCGAGGCAAATGGATTTTTGAACATTGCAGTCGATCACGAGTATCTTGAGAAATTTCTTTTTTTTTTTTTAACAGCTCTATGACTTTAAAACCCATCCATGATACACAGCGGTCGCGTAAAGATGGATGTTCGAAAAGTTACACGTTCAAAATGATCCTTTCACTGTATCAACGTAATGACTTCGTATAGCATACATTATACGAAGTTATACGATCGAAAAGTTGCACGTTCAAAATGATCCTTTCACTGTATCAGAA